AAACTATTGTCAACATATGATTTATGTTCAACTCGAAATATTTTTCTAAATAATGAAATATAAAGTTATTATAAAGTTATTGTGCATGTCTGAAGAAAGTCTTAGAATACAAAAACATTGGTGAATGCCACAAATTCTCCTAAATCACTCATACGCACAACTTAAGAACAAATCTGTGCGTACGAACGGTTCTTGCATGAGGCCCAATGTTTCTCTAGTTCAGCAGCTGAGAGGTGAGTGAAGGAGAATCCAGTCAGTGTGAGCTCTCTGTGTCCAACTGCTCAGGAGAAGTTTTGTAAAATGTATGGCTTGTTTTGATAAAAGGAGCCCTACAGCTCTGACTAGAAATAAATGAGGCATTTAGGTGCTCCTGCTCCATCAGGCAGGGTGCAGGCAGCTCATTTTCAATATTAAAGAAGCTAAAATCATCAAGACTTTATTTACATCATTATAATTAGCTAACAGCTTTCATGTTGACCTCATATAAATGGCAAGAATGCAGTTTTTAATGTATTTTAAACACTTGTTCAGATATTGAATACATTTTGATGCACTTATAATACATTGCTTTATAATCCAAATCTTGAATATGCTGTTAATATACTGCACCTGACCATGGGATTATCTGGCACTTTAAAAACTGATGCTAAAGTTTATCTTGTGTATGAGCTGCTACCATGGCAGCAGTATGCTACTGTCAGAGAGAAGAGGTGTTTGAATATTAATCTCCGGTATTCATAAAACACACTAGCTTTGCCAGATTGATTTACATGCACAGATTTTTTCTTTCATTGAGAAGAAAATTTAACATTTCAACTCAAACAAAAATGTCGAGACACAACAAACCACAGGCGAGTTTTTCTTGCACTGAGTCACTGACGTTTTCTTACCGGGGTTAATAGAAAAATCAAAGTAAACCATTGTAATGTTACAGCATCCAGAGTTTTCTGACAGTGATCATTTTTTTACAAGCATAAAAGTCTGACTTTCTTCTGGCCTCATTGGTAACATCAAGCAGCTCTTAACTCACCATGAATAAAACATTTTATTTAAAAAAGGGGGAATAAAATCACATTGTGACACAGCAGCAGAAGATAAAGGCTCCTTCAGAGATAAGTCTCCTCTTCACTCACTTCATTTTGTGTTCGGGTCCACCGCTTATTTTTTTTTTTTTATCACTTTGACTCTTTGAGCAAACAGCCAGGAACAAACTGACCACATTCACATCCAATAATCACAGAGGAGCGCTCAGACCTTTATTACTTCCTCCTTTAATCTGATTGAATTGAGATGATGACATCAGATTGTCTGCAGAATAAAAGCCTTTTTTTTCTGTGCTGAGGACTGAGAGTTATTTKATTGGATCATGTAAATCAAACTATCAGCAGGAAGCATCCCCCCATTTAAAATTAAATTTATGGAACAACATCACACATCTCTCTGGACTGTGAGCGTAAACACGAGCATGGTGTTTTGTTTGTGATTAAAAATRTTTCAGCAAGTCTGCCAAGCTCAGATTTTCTGAGTGTTTTGTTTTTAACTTTTAGAATAAAATAGTTCCTAAGACTTGTTTTAGATGTGTTGACGTTTTGGACTATTTTTAGTTTTGAATGAGAATGCAGTTTTATTTTTCCTCACAATATCAGAAGTTGTTTTCTCAAGTATGTTGTGCAATATAGTAGTTCTCAAGGTGGGTGTTTGAACCCCACAGTGGGTCACAAATCAACATTGTTGGGGCTCAAAACAGAGAAAAAACACTTAACCTGCTCTAAAGCATATATTTACTACACCTGTTACTAAAATAACAATAGACACACCATATATAAAAAATACATGTGTATGTCCTTATTTATTTTCTATTTAAGCTGTGTTTGTTCAACCAGGATTATTTGGGGTATTTGACGTTGCTTTGGAGGTCAGACACAAAAAATTTTGGAAACTTCTTTATTAAACAATGAATTCATTCTTTGTGTGTACATTGAATTACCCCCTTTTTTGGCTGATAATCCAGCCTCTGGGTATGACCTCACTATTGTGAGCTGTCCAACGTCTCACAGTTTAAAGTTTCAGTTTTTTCAGTCATGGTAATTTCCAGCCCATAAAACAGCAGCCTTGGACTTGTGTTCAAATCCAAAAATAAATGTATCTTACATCAACAATTTCATGTAAATGCCTGAAAATATTGTCTTTGTTTCTGTTTGTTGTTGGGCAACTTAGTTGAATACACAAACATTTAAAACTAATATTTTTTTTTATGGTAACTGCAATGACATTACGACTCAGATTAAATACATGCAGGTCTGGACATCAACATGTGAACACTAAAACAAACAAAAAAATTGTTTCAGCCACTATTTTTGAAAACATTGAGCAATTTGATTAAAATGTTTTATAGCCAAAACATAAAAATGCAAACATGATTTTTGAATGTTTTGATTTTTCTCTGCAACACAGATGCATTTGCTTTTTAAAGGCAATATGTACTGTATTTTTCAGGCACATAGTTCAATTCCATACCACAATCATGTAACTGTGTTACCTTCAGTTGTTATTAAAAACCTGTATATACCAAAAATAAATTTGACTTTACATCATAGTCTATCTAAATGCAATGAAATTGGCCACTGTCTCTTTAAGAATCTCCTACAATTTCAGACACTCCCACTTCATCATATTTTCAAACAGTTCTTCGGGATGCGGGAGCTCAGCTTCAGACTGAGCCCTTGGGAGGAGCTTTGTA